TTTTATTTACAATAGAGTTACATGACTAAAAACCATTGCGTGCCTACTGAACGTGATGGCGCAGCTATTGAACGTACAGTGATGGCGCAGCTATTGAACGTGATGACGCGTGTGGTGTGGTTGGCTAGACATGCCTAATAATTCGGTCCAAATTTTAATTAATTAATAAAAAATTAATTAGGCATCCAATTAAGTCAAATTTAGTTTCAGATTGCATTGTCTTCATGTCTTGACCCACGTGCAAACTGTGAATCGTATCGGTCAAGTAGAACTGTCCGAATTTTCACTCCTGCTTTTCCATCTAGAGTCTAGACTGACGACAGACAGAGGAAGTGAGTTAAATAAAAGCTTGTAAAAATGTTTTATACCGCGGATTTCTAGGTTTAAGGGGAAAGAACTACACATTTTGTAGCATATTTTGAATTTAAGATTTGCATCCTAAATAACAATAAAACATTAATAATAAATTAAATATTCTTAATAAATAATGTTATTAAACAAAATATGTACGTAAATAATAAACTTTAGCATTATTGTAATTCATTTTGATTAAAATATTTTTTTGCGAAAACTTTAAAATTATAGCGGATTAATTATAACTATTTCAAGGGGCAATACAGATTTCAACAGTGCAAACCGGGTTGACTTTCTTCATTATAGATTTCTACGTTATATTTAAATAATGTTAATAGGCCTAAATAGGCCTATATCCCATTAATTTCCCACGCTGTCTAAAATGTAAAAAAAAAAAATATTCTCAACATGACTGGTAAAATGTAAGACTATAATGGTAAAAATACCATTTTTGTATTTCTTTATTTCTAATTACCTTTATTAGAATTGTTGATTGACAAATAATTTTTTTTAGTAATGTTCAACATTTTGTACATGTAATGATAATTTTTGTAAATATTTGAACTATGTTAAAGACTAACGCATACACACACTTGTATATGCTGATAAAACTATTTCTATTTGAAAATAAAAGTAAAAAAAACCCCATTAAATAGTAAAAAATTTGTTAAATATAATTACGTATTTTTTAATATACATATTAACTTGCTGAAGGCTTGCAGCAGTGGCGTAGCTACCGTAAAGCTAGCGTAAGGAAGGCATAGGGGCCCAAGGCAAATAGGGGCCCTTATTCGAAAGTTTGAGGGGGGGGGTGCAAATCGAAAGTCTGAGGGGGGGGGGGTGCAAATCTAAAGTTTGTTTCCGGTCGCCAGGAAGGGTCGCTACGCCTCTGAGGGGCCCACTAACACTTTTTGCATAGGGGCCCAAAAATCCTAGCTACGCCACTGGCTTGAAGTCAAGAGTAAATGTCAGGGTTACTGTAAGTTAAAAATGACGAATAATCTACTCATGTTATATTATTTTATGATCCGATTTGTTGTCCCATCTCTGTCATAGCTTTAGCGAGACAATGGTTTTACATGCTTTCTTTGGGAATCTGTCAAAAGTAAATCTCTTGTTATACCTACCCAGAGGCGTAGCGCCCCCCCCCCCCCTCAAACTTTCGATTTGCACCCCCCCTCGAACTTTTCATGTGCACCCCCCCCCCTCAAACTTTCAATTTGGCGCCCCCCTAAGGTCGGCGCCCGGGGACATATGTACCCCCCCCCCCCCGCCCCCCCCCCCCTCTCTACGCCTCTTTACCTACCACTTAATAACTGTATCATCTGCTTCAATGAAGAAAAAAAACACAACTTAAGCATGTTTTGTCAACCATTTGTAAAAATCAGAAATCGAGCACAATAAAATAATAATAAGCATTGCCCAAGACCACCTTCATACAATATAAAACAACAAAATGATCACACTCTTTAATTTTGCTTGTATTTTTACTATAATAAAATAACAATTTAAAGGGGTCAGTAAAGCTTATGTTTGCTCTCGAGTTCGAACCCTCGGGCATATCAGGCTCGACAGCAACTTTTCTAGGTGAGACAGAAAAAGCCCAAATAAATGAATTAAAAAAGAAAACTGCTTCTTTGTGGTTCTTGGTTGGACAAATGCTATGTAAGCCAATTTAAAAAAAGTAAAAACAATCAGACTGATATAAGAGTCAACGGCCTATAAGGTGCATAACAAGTTAACACGTAACACTTAATTGTGTTAGAGGGAATCCTTCCCAAACATTAGAATTAAGAACAGTTTTTCTTCCAAGACTTATTTCTCCGGGGTTGGAGGGAGGGGCGCACTTGCAATCTTCGGGGGGCGGACTAAAATTTCCTGTGGGGTGGGGGGGGGGGGGGGGGCGGACACTGTTAAAAGTATATATTTTCTATATACAATCAATTTCGTTGGGGGGGGGGGCGGTAGACTTTCTTCGCCCCCCCCCCCCCCCCCACCCGAAGAGATGACTGGAAGAAACTCTATTTAAGAACGAAGAAGAAGATCAATTTATAATACTGTGCACGTTCCATTGTTTTTATTATATTATTGAAATCAGCGTTTCAGAAGCTGTTGACGTCCACCAATATCACAGTCAGGCTACGCA